AACTGACTAGTATACTTTAATAAAATTCTTTCGATTAGACAAGCACGCTGTTAACACCTTCTTTCCTTTAAAAATAAAGCTGTTTGTGATGGTCTTTAGGGGACGTAGATAGGATTTACTTCACTCGAGCAACTTCAGTGAGTTCTCTGGTTCTGGCGCATTTGTCTCACGAGCAGGGAATGAGTATGGGTTTGACTGCAGTGAATTGAGGCCTGGACAATTGTAGCTGTCCTTACTACAGGTGTGGCATATGAGAAAAGCTCTGCTTGGGTCTAAGAGAGCAACACTGGATTTTGGAAGCTATCATCTTTTCCAGTATACTCTTTTGCATTGAAAATGGATGTGGCCATACTGCTGGTTGTTGGGGCCAGACTTTAACCATCCTGCTCTGAAACAAGAATATAACGCTTATCTTTGATTATTTGAGAGCGTTTGGATGTTGATGGTTTTTCAGTATAAGGAGCAGCAGTTGTTGATTTCATCATGAAAAGGGAGATAGGTAAGAGAACCCCTGAATCTTAATGGGTTTTGCACCAAGCTTCCTTTGGAAATGTTGCTGAGAAATGCACTGTGTTGTCTGGAATTGCCATGCAGAAGTCTTATTGAGAGAAAACAAACAATAGATCTTAAAACATCTGTCAGATGCCATGCCCTTTACAGGAGTGAAGATTAACATGCAGCGCTACTGGTGTAGGTGCACACACCACACAGAGTTAAACATACGAACAGCAGGCTCACACTGTGCTTACTACAGATGTCTGAATGAGTGAGTGCCTGTGGGCTGGAGCAGCATGTCTTGTGGCTTTCACTCTGCTCCATTGGGAAGTCTTCACTCCTTTTGTTTTTATCCTTTTCCAACTCCAGTACTTTCGAGCACACAGCTCCCATCCCCTGACCTAATAGCTCCATTGAAGTGCATTCCAGACCCATGATTTCATGGTACCAGGCAGAACTCCCCTGCCATGCTGCTATGCTGCCCGCTGCTTCTCACGGAGTGAACAAACAGGGAACATAAACTCTCTCCAAAGAAGCAATGTTCTCTGTATATTTTTAGTGCTAGAAATCCAAGATTCATTTAAGGGTGTCCTGTGTGGGCTTTTTTTAATATAGACTTCTGCTAACACAATGGAATATTTCATACCACCCTATTTGCTGTAACATCTGATGCTTTATGTTGTTAAATGGAATCAAAGGAGTTAAAGATGAAAGACTCCTAGTCAACTGGTCCCTCAGCTGGGAGCCTGTGTGGGTTTGTTCTTTGTAATGTATTTGCTAGTGCTTTACCCAGGTCCAGCCTAGCTCAGTTTTCATTATTGGATTTACGCGTTTCTGCAAATTCCATGCTTAGGTTAAGTAATTGCTGAGCTTAGGCTCGATATAATACTACTACTGTTTGTTTCTCATGTTTAGCTTGATATTTATTGCCCATATACTGAACTAGCCTTTTATTAAGTAGTTGTTTACCATTTGAATGTACAAGCACCATTAAAGATGCCGTGCTTGCTTTCACAGGTATACTTTACAGGATAGACAGAGAACTTTATCTCTTCATATGAAACTGTTTCCATTTTGCATTGTACTTGGGTATTTTCTTTCCAACATGCACTGTGTCACCAGATGCTAACTTATGTAGTGTTACAATAAACCTATCTTTAATTAGAGCATTGTTATTTTTCAAATATTTGGAGTTAGTACAGAATTTGAATGTGTAGTGTATGTTGAAACACTGATATCTTGTATTTTCTTGGTGAAAAACATTCTTAAACTACCTACTTAAATGTCTGTATTGCAGTTGTACTATCTATTTGAGTGTATGATTTGCAAATTAGCAGACATAATTTTGCCAATACATCAGGTATGTTTATAGTGACTTAATCTACAGTGATCTGGGAAGGGGAAAAGGCAAATAATGAACATGGTGTGGGAAGCAGGGACTGTGGCTGCAAGGAAATGGAGTCTGCGTGACTTGGGGACTGACAAGGTTTGTAGGCAGAACTGTTCTCCACAGGCTCAAAGTGCCAGCTCTGTTTGGGGCAAAATATTGACACACGAACTGATCTGTGCTGACTGCACAAAGATTCCCGCTTTCTGGTATAAGAGACAGTTACCCCAGGGGATAGAGCTGTTTCTGCACTGAAGTAGCACTCGCTTCAGGGTCCCAGGGAAAAGAAGCAATAACATCAGGAGATGTTTCAGGTGATGCTGTCTTTATCTAGACTGCAGTTGAAAGATGTGCAAGTTTCTGCACCGTGCTTTAACACGGGCATCCTAACATACTTTATTTGATGCACATCCATAGTGGATTTGTAGAACATTGTAAAGTGCAGGTAGAAAGCATTTTATATAAGATCATTGGAGTCAAGGCAGTAATAGCTTCCTTACCATATGGCATACCCTGTGCCTCCATACTGTCTTGGTATACCATGCAAGAGCTCTTCTGGGAAGCAGGGGGTAGGGAGGCACAAGTGGAGGAAGAAAAGAATGCAGGAACACAGGAGGGATGAAACGGTCTGATAAGAAAGTGGAGAGTAGGGCTGTAAGAAGCTATAGCCTGTGTAGAAAAGTGTGGTTAAACAGGCATATAAATGGGCAGTGGAAAGCAGGAAGCACTGTGAGGAGAAATAATTATGGGAAGGAGCATCAGGGTTTGAACTGAGTAAGGGGAGACAGGGGGATGAGAAAAGGAAATGTGCTCTGACAAACAACCAGCTGTTCTGGGATCCCTGTAGGGACATCTTAGTGATCATCTATTTATAGCCTTGTTTTCTTCTTGAGCTCTTATTCTCTTGGTGAGCAGGAACACGGGAAGCAAAAGATAGCTGTTGTGCCTGTGAAATACCTATTGCATTGCCTAGCAACTGCTCTGCACCCTTAATAACAGAAGCACAGCTCTGAAGCCCAGTGAATCCTGAGTTTCTATAAAGCTTCATTTAAATTATGTATGTTGGGATTCTGTATGCCTCCTTCTCTAGGTGAGCACCTGGCTCTTCTCAGTGTTAACAAAAAGCTGGCTGCAGTCCTTGGGCCAGGTGGTAGCTTAGTGGGAGGTGAGGGAATTCTACAAGTGGTCATGAATACTCTGATGTAGGTTCCTAGAAAAACAAGGGATCAAATAGCAAACAAGGAATTGAGTAGCATAATTCCATTTTTGTGGAATGGGGAAAAGAGGCATGGGTGGTCAAGAACTGGAGCACAAGAACTGGAAGTTAGAATTGCTGTTAGAGGAAAAGGTGTGCTTTTCATTGCAGTGACTACCTTGCAGCTCCTGTGCTGGAGGTTCTCCAAGAGCACTTAGAAACCAACTCAAGAATATGCCTAGAAGTTAAGCAGATATTTGGGATGGGGTGTGTGGGTTGGTACCTGGACTTAAGCGTGTAGGCATTTATGTGAGCACGAGAAATTAGCATGCTGCTAGCCCAAACATGCTCTTACATGTCAGCGCAAACACTTAAACATTGGATAAGAAAATTGTCTTGATCTGAAAAACAGGCTTACTTTGAAAGCAAAGATAATTTTTCAGCAAATTTTGAAAGAAATGAGCTAGGGTTTTTTGAAATATAGATCATGGCAAAAAAAAAAAAAGTCCTATTCCACTTGGAGATACTTTCTCATTTATTTTTCTTGAGTCTGAGTCAAAATTAATTAAGTCAATTCAAAGTCCTTTTTTTAATAGTTAAAAATAATGGTACTTGGCCTTGACTTTTACTGCCATTTTGTGTGGTTTTTTAGTTGTATGATTTTATTAATTTTTTTCTCCCTTATGCATTAGTAAGAGATTCACAGAAATTAAAATGGACCACATCAATAAATAAATTCTCTCCATTATAGATGATGCTTATAAAATTTAGCAGGAAAAAAATCATGCAGCCAGAGGGATAATGAAGTTGATGTTCCTGC